ATTAGCAGTCTTTTTACAAATTTATTATCTTATTTACTGGCTTTTTACAAATTAAAACCTATTAAAATGTTTATGCCTTCAAAATAAAAAATTCTTATAACTAACATTTGTTAACATTTTTTATGTGTATACTGTATGCTGTCGCCAACAAAGTCTGCTTTCGAGATTTGCACCGGCGAAACGTAAAAGTACCATATATTGATTAGTATAAATATCCTTAAAATGTTAACTTAAAGCTGAACTGAACTGAACTTATTACTAATCTTTGCTAAACAGTATGTATGACCCTTTGACTGCTATGGGCGCTGTGTCAATGTTCACAGCGCCCATAGCAGCTCATATGTGTTCAGCAAAAACCATTGGTGTGGCTTATGGGTGCATACATCTGCTCGGAGCAAGCCATCCATCTAGACTATGGACGCAAATATGTGCTCGGTAAAGGCCTTGGCTGTTTACTGCTGTCTCGTGTATGTTCAGAAGTTATTTCTATTGTACGTCACTAACACTCATACCTGATTTGTTGCTTAGCAGCATGAAGAAATGAAATCTTGTTTATTTGCTCAGTCATACTGTGGTTGCATGCTGCTCATGTGAAGTGCTTCAACTTGGAGCAGTTAGCAGTGTGAAAGGGTTAATAAACTTAATCTGGATGTTTGGCAAGGTTCTTTAATATACTAAGGTTAGGCCAGGAACGGAAAAAGCGTGCCATTGGTTGCTGGTAGTGACGTCACCCGGGAGACAAGACGCATCGGCCGACGCGTCTGCTACATGATTTTGGTAATGGAAAAAATGTAAACTAAAGCAAAATGATCATTTTATATGTGGTAGATACACCGGAAATACCGGGTATATACTTTCCGATTAAGTATTTTGTTAAAGAAAATGTTTATTTTATGCACAGAATTCGTACGAATGCTGAAAATAATTGTAAACATTAAATTCTTTTCGTAAAGGAAAGCATTAGAAAATGAAAAACGATATTTAAGTTAATTAAGGGAAATAAATATTGTAAAACAAGGTATTTTTCAATATTTTTTCGTAGTAGTATTGTTTGCACTAAATAAATCTTGTTGAACAGAACACATGATGGCATAACTGCTAAGACCATGGTAAAAACATAATCAAAAAGTATTATTCTATTTATTTTCATTGCTCATGCACTTTTTTTAATACAAATGAACTTTGACATTCCATGAGAAATATATGATCGTGATTTTCAGTTTAAATTACATATCTCAAGCAAAAATATATATAAAAGATTTGACTTAACACAATTCATATTTAAAACCATAAAATTCTACAAATTTTCTTAATATCCGTCATTATACTTTTAAATAGTATACTTATCACATTTTTTAAAGTGAAAAGTCACTTCATACTGATTCACTTCAGATTTTAGCAGAAGTGCGTATATTTTCAGTATAATCTAAAAGTACTCTTATAATCCCTTACACTCCCAAGATTTCTATATAACATTTATCCTGACGTGATTATTTGCTATAGTAAATAATCTTCGATATTGGCATCCTATTCTTCCTTCCATACATTAAAAATGGAACAATTAAAATACATTTTCTTACACATATACGCACAATAATAATAATAATAATAAACTTGCCCTACATCTTAGTTTCGGCCCACCAGCGGCCGAGCGGTAAAGTCGCTGAACACTGGTAGTTCGGTCCGAATCCCGCGAACGGGCTGGCTGCATGGGTGTTTTCGTGGTTTTCCTCATGCGTAACGTGTATACGAGCCAGTTTCCCTGAGAAAGTCCTCCACGAAGGCATCACACCTATTACGCAGATAGCCCTAGTGTGCTTTGCCATAATTAAATACACCACCACATCTTAATTTCAATTCAGCCTGTACACAAATTAAATATTTTTAATTACTAATGTATTTTTATCAGGTTGTTTCTTAAAATACTTTTGTTATACTCGAAATATGTGTTCAATATTGAATTATTTTTCTTTCTCTTATAATTAAAAACAAGTTATATGGAATCAAAATTAAAACATATGCAGCAGTTAAATAACACTGAACAGAATATCTTACTTACTCTTTCGCTATTTGTATTCTAGCATTATACACAGATTTGTTTTCCTTCAGGTTCAAGCATGTGTAAGTTATATCAATTAAATTACATCACACATACCTGTATGCATCAGTTAAATAACACTGAAGGAAATATGTCACTCACTCATTCGATGTTTGCATCATAGTGTGGTCGAGAAATTGTTCTTTCCTCACGGTGAGGCATGTATCAGTTTACTTAGTTCGCAAAGCTTAACCCAGACGCTGCTTCAATACATAGAATTACGTTTGGGATGTAAAGAAAGTAACCAAAACATGTGAATGAAGTTGGATACGCGAATTTATTAACTAATCATTCAGGTACTCAGTATTGGTAAACATGACACTGAGTTTAAATATCTCACTACGATGTAAGTCTCATACACAAATGAAGATTATGATAAAAAATGATTTAAAATGAGAAATTTTTCAATTTAAATGTAAAATAGCAGTAAAATGAAAAATAAATGTAAAATTACATCACAGTTATGTATGAAAACTACATAAATTCATTAAAAAATAGTTATTTTATCTGGTTGTAAAGAGTGTTTTCCGCCAAAAAACGTATTAACGTGTATAATTCTGACACAACGCTATAGCACAATTTGCCACTTCCGCCTAGGTATAATAGCAAATTAACAACACAAATCAAATCAAACTGTTGATGCAACGAAAGTAAACAAACGCCAAGAACTAACGCTGTCACCCACATGACGTCATGCGTATGTGGCATAACTTTCTCCCTGCACTGCGCATCGCTCTTGGGCCCCTCCTGGATGTTTGGTATATCTGGTTCTCAAATCACATCTATATGTTTCAATAAGAATTATGTAATCAACATTTTTGCTAAAGTTTTAAATTTAAGTTTGAAATCTATGTAATACTAGAAGGCAAGTTTGTGTAAATGATTGGTATTAAATTTATAAAACTTAAACAGAAAATTATCATGATTTTATGTTTTTCTCAGAGCAGAAGAAAACTATCAATCAATAAATAAATGAAATAAATTCCTTGCAATTATAAAAGAAATATAATTTTTTAAAGTAACTCTATATAAATAGTTCATAAAAAGTGATCATTTATTTGTGTTCATCTCAAGCCAAAAGATTTTATTTTGAATGAAAGAAAAGCAATAGTTTTTAAGATACAAAACAAACTCTAAGTGAGAATAAGTCACGGCATGCTGAAATATATCAGCTGAAATGCACCCAAGTACTGCCTTACCACTCATTACCACAGGTATGTATTGTGATTCAGATTGATATGTTATTCCTTATGCAGTGCATTTATTAAAAAGCTTGGTTTTCATTGATCTATGTTACTTTACTTTACTGGTATAATATATTCGTAATAATACAGTCTTCCTTTCTCTCTCTTTTTCATCCTATATAATTATTTGTCATTTGACATTGAAAATAAGGATATAAAACTTTATAATTCTTTATAGTATGCTTCCTGATAATTTACTTATTTATTTATTTCAAGAGAAAAATAATATATGTTCATTGAAATATTTTATAACATGTATATATCATTTCATAATATTTGTATTCTGCCTGATATTTAGCTATGTTTTATTCTGTAAATGTATGCTTGCTTCATAATTATACTAAATCTTTTATATATTGTCTTGGGATTGCCTTTTTTAATGTAGAAGCTTAGTATTTTCTTTAACTGAGGTAAAATTGGTAAAAATATATTTACGGGTGCCCCTTGGCGATTTTTGGCGGACACCAAGTTTGCGCAATTCTTTGGCTTGTTATTTTGGCTTTGTGTAGCGGAGTTTTTTTTGCCAAAAATTTATGCTACACAAAGCTAAAATAACAAGTCAAAGAACTGCACAAACTCAGTATCCATGTACACATCAATCTATTTTTACTTAAAAAAATCAGAGAATTGTCTGAACCCGGCATTGAGCACTTCCTTGACTTTGTCCATGTACACATCGATCTATTTTCACTTAAAAAGTTAAAGGAGCACTCAGTTATACACTTTCTATTTAAACAAAAAATATATAATCTCAATAAACTACATTTTAAATCAAACAGTGAAATAACATTAAAAAGGAAATTCATCTTAAACTATCTAAGTACTACAAAAAAGAAATATCCGCTTACCTTATTTAGAAATTTCCATGTTTTCGGTCTGTGGCACACAAAATTCCGTAATAGCTTCCAAAAACTTTCCTCAAACCATGATCCCTTTCTAATGGAATGCTTTATATGGTGAGCACTTCAACCTTTCTTGCTGCAAACCCATTCAAAGGCCATCTGAACGATCTTTACGTTCCACCATACAGATTTCCTTTGCACAAACAAGACAGTTACAATTCTGTTGTATTTCATCCAACAAAGTTTCTTTTCTTCTGTCCTCAACCCCCCTCAAAAAAAAAAAAAAAAAAAAAAAATCGCTCTCTTTTTCTGTACCACTAAACATTCACTTTACCACCACATTTTACGATGCAAAGCACCTAATATGCAACTCACTTCCTAACTGACATCCAACAAATATTTTCCCATCAGTCAAATTCACAGCAATCATGCAACCAATCACGCCATAATAGGGTTTCCATAGAATTCGACGGTAAAATCCTAGGAGAGCCCACACCCTTGGCAACAAACTGGGAAAATGCAGAATCATCCACTACTTTGCGTGTTTCTCAAAATTGCCAACTTGAAAATAACAAGTAAAAAAATTGCACAAACTTGGTATCCATGTACACATTGACCTATTTTCACTTAAAAAAAATATCTCAGAATTACACAAACTTGGCATTGACTCATAATAATTATTTTTCATATATTCTATAAATTATTAGAAGAGACTTTCTAAATATGATTTTCTATTAAGAAATATAGAATTTCTTTTTCTAGGAAAAATTTTCAATCTATCAATCTCTTATTTTCTATTTGCATATTTAATTTCAGGGGTAGTAAAACCTGGTATCCTGATGCAGAATTTTTTGAGCAGTTCTCAGGTCCTGTCATGTATCCCGAACAGTTTCCTGGTGTGAAGTGGAGACCTCCACGTTACAAAGGTATCTGTTGTAAATTTGCATAATTTAATAGCATATTGTTATGTGCATATGGCTTCATAATGAATTGAAAGTACACAGAACTGATGATAGCTTGATAAAATTTATTTTCTCAAAAGAGACACATTACAGCTCTGAAATATATAGTTACAGTTACGTATAGGGCCAGATACAATTACAAATACATATAGGGATCAGGCCATTTACAGTTATATAAGTATCCGACCAAAATATCATTAAGTTTGGCAACTTTTAGTGATTTCTTGCCACAGCTGGTAACAAAAATTGGTCACCAAAACCATTGTCAGCTTGGCAGTATTATGCTAGTTTAGCAAGATAGCTATTTACCTTAATGTTAAATGGACTTGTCCTTGTAATCTTAATTTGTCCGGTGTAGCTTCACGTGTTTAAGGCATTTCGTGCTACGTTATACATGAGATACTAAAAATTTACATATAATTTCACTAAAATTATTTACATATGTGCGAAATCCATAAAAATGTAAATAATGATTAAAAATAAATTTTTTACGTGTAACTGTGGGCACACAGTGAAATTTTGCTGTCTTCTTTGTCACTTTAAATAGATGTATAGTATAATGACAAATTCTGGTATTTACATGTTATCCCATTTATTGGCCAAGTAGTGTTATTTAGCATCAGTTATGTATTACCACTTCCTTTAGAATTCTGAAGTGGCAATTGGCGATCATTGCCAAAATTTCTGCCATTGGTCAACAGGATAATAGGTGAGTACCCAAATTTCTTTAAATAAGAAACAAAAATTAGATTTCATAATATAATACACTTAATAATTTATGATGAATATTTTCATGACTTTTCATAAATATCCTTCAACTGGTCAATTTTTATATATATATACGTGTATAAACCAAAGAGGCATTACATTATGACCACTTCTCACCTAAAGCGATGAGCTTGCCCAGAGACAAAACCATGGCAAAAAATATGTATTGTTAAGAAGGAAAACTTCGCAACAGCAGGAGTGGCTCCCTTCGAACGAAAAGGGAAACAGCTGCGCATATGTGAAATGTCTGTCGCCAAAAAGCCTCAAAGCTCAGAACTGATGTCGAAGTTTGAACAGGTTCGACGGTCATTTTTATCAAGAGTTTAAAGCTGTGTGACTCCATTTTTTCCCCTCCATATTGATGGACATAAAATCAGACATCAAACTGTGATATGAATAATGCAAGTTTAACAGCCAGGAAAAGTGAAACTTCACCTAATTTTCTTATTTCTCTTAACCCGTGTTCCTCAATTTCCTATACACGTTGTGGAGGAGGAAAATCTCAGCCGGGTCCAGTACATCACAGAGGGGGGGGGATTCCAAGGAGTTTGGAAATTCTCACCATCAGGTTCCCTTGGCGAATTTCACTCTTCTTTCTAGTGGCATAGAAAACAAATTGGTTTACATTACGTCTATGGAGCCTTTCATTCTTTACAGAGACGTTCTTTGACCAGGGTGTATGTGTTGCTGATGCTAGAGTATATTAAGTCCCATGCATTGTTTTTTTCGCATGTAGAATGTGTAATGACATGATAGGAAATGCAGCTGATTTATCAGATTTCAGTAAAGTTCAAATCATTATGGTTTGATGCCTGCGAGCATTGATTTCAGAAATACAGCATTTAGTGGGCTGTGTTATGAGTACTTATTAAAAGTGGTGTATGGGTGGAGAAATGACAATTTGCTGCCTATCTGTTTGTCTACCAGATCCATTGCTTTCAGAGAAGAGTAGAGATTGTTATGCATTGTTTGCCATGACTGAAGGGCTACAATGCTGAAATCACCAGCAGCGACAACAGTGGTAACACAGATGTTGTGTCGTAACATGCAGATGACAGGTGAGAGTGAGTTCGGCAAACCCATGCGACTTTCAAGGACTATTCAGGTATCGCCCGGAATCCACAACCGTTGTCTCAACACACAGTGCAGCATACATTGTGTATGTGCGTATGCAGCCAGCATCTGAACCGCGTGCCTGTGCTGATGTTACACCATCACCAACAGTGCAGTGCCTCCAGTAGATCAAGGAACATGGGCATTAGACCGTGTAAGAATGATGGCAATCCCATTAACTCTTTTAGATGGTGGCTGAACAACACATTCAGAATTGAAATTGCCTTTGAATGTGCGAATCATTGAGACAACTTGCATTATAAACAAAAATTCTGAAATGGCTAAAGTACTCCAATCATGTTATCTCATTATATGGGACTAAGGCAACATGGCACACGTACGTTTTGTTGCTGTCATGCTTCTATGATTGCTTTTAATATGGCTTTAGAAATATTTTCTCATTCCAAGGACTTTTGGCACATTAACTCTGTAAAGTAAAATTCATGATGGTGAAACAGGCCTCCTCATTTTTTTTTATACCACTGCTTAGCGGAGTGCCACAGGTTTTCAACATTTTGTATATGAGCAGCTGTTGTTGGAACAACAAAATAAAGTTTATGGTTCACAAGGCCTCTAACATATTTTTTCCAGTTCCTTTGTTTTGTGTGTTCACCAACAGTATGAATAAATCATCGATCTTTTAAATTTTATTTTAAAGTGTATATGTGCATTACATTTTTACATAAAGTAAATACAGTCAAAAGTCGTTAATCCGGACTCGTCGGAACTTTGGCGATTCCGGATTATCGATTTTTCCGGATTATAGATCATCAGTTTAAATCTGGTAAGATGGCATGCAGAAATTATAAAATTAAAAATATGAAACCGTAATTTATGAAATAAAGAACAATTATGATCTAAAGGGTATCTGTTACAAGTCAAACACAAAATGAGCGAAAGTTTCTCTTCTGCCAGTGGCAACGAGGAGTCAAAAAACGAACTGGGAAGCGAGCGGTCACTCAGTCTGTTTCTCTTGATAGAATTTGATACGAAGGGGGGATAATCCCCATCTTTGATTTGAAATTAATCTCGAATTATGTTATATTGTAATTAAAAGATGTGTGTAAAAAATAAAAGTCGTTAAGACTTAATGAAGTAGTGATTTGAATCGAATATAGAAATCGAAAGCTCTCCCAAATAGAACTATGGATTTTAGAAAGAAATGACAGTATCAAAATTTACAAAAACAAAAAAAAAAAAAAAAAAACTTAATTTTGTTTGTTTATTTTATTAACACATTCTTTCAATGTAAGTTGAAAGAAATTTACATTTGTTAAGTTTGCTTCTATTTTTTATGTGAATAATACATTCTCTTTATTCTATAAACAGACATAATTTCTTGTTCAGTTACAAAGTTCGCGTTTAAGTCCTATAATTGCTGTGCGAGAATACCGGCTAATTTGTCAATCGAAATTTTTTTTCGTTTCAATAACCTCTGTTACTTTTCTCGCTATCGGAAGCGAATTTATAATGACGAGGAATTTTATTTAAATCATATCAAAGACGGAGTACATAGAGATGAAATACTACATTTAGTAAGGAATTATAAGCCAAATAAAATAAAAACATCTGCACTGAAGATAAGGATAGTGCTGACAGATCAACTTCCAATTCATTGCGTGCTGCCGCGTTAAAGATAAACAAAGTTTAGATAAACAAACATTAAAGTTTAGATAAACAAAGGATATGCCTTTATCCATTTTTTGCAGGAATTCCACATTTTGTTTAACGGACTCAGAAACATACTTTCGCTTTTAAATCCTTTACATATTAGTAAATATATATCAGGAATTTTATTTGACATAATCGAAAGTTCAAGCTTACTTTTATAAAATTGCTCTAACAGTCTGCAAAAAATAATAAGCCGAATCCAATTCGAAGATTCAGGAACAACGCAATATGCAACATTAACTGAATTAGATAATTTTAGCTTAGCTTATACCATCCGTTATACATTAAACGCACATTCGTAAACGTATTTTGCGCACACGCAGACGCATATTCGCAGCCGTAAAGGTCTTACGCGTATGCGTCAACATCCTTTACGGCTTTGAGGTCCGGATTATGGGTGTCTGAATTAACGACTTTTGACTGTAATACTGTGTTATACAAATATATTAAATCTGTTACATTTCTTTTTAGTGCAAATTGTGGACTGCAGTTATATGATTTCAGTTAAACAGTATTTTCAAGGAACAAATCTGCCATGTGAATCAAGGATTTCTTATATTACTTATAAATTTAATCCCAGTGAACAGGCTGACTGCATGGGAATTTTCTAGGTTTCTTCATGTATTATGAACATATGAGCCAGTTTCTCTTAGATAATCATCTACTATAGCATCAAGCAAGATAATGCTTTTAGCAGTGCCATTCTGCTTTCTGCACAGCGGCATTTCCTGCATCAGCAAGAGATAGGCAGTCCTAATATGCTTTGGAAAATCTTACACAAAGGCTTCAAACAAGATTATGCTTTTAACAACATCATTCATTCCTTTTTCTGAACAGCAGCATTTCGTATAGAGGAAGAGACAGACAGTCCAAATAGACTTTTATCAAATGATGCTTAGAAATTTAAATTCAGTTTCTGGCTTATTTCTGAACAGTATACATCACATGTTTATAGATGAGTTTATTTTTAAGTTCTCTGTAACTGTGCAGATGTAAATGATGATCCAACCTTATGAATTTATTATATTCTTTATAATGTCAAGTTTGGTAATCTGATTAGGTATAAGTTTTGATATACATGGAAGGAAATTTTATAGTTGAGTTTATTTTAGGGATTAAAAAAATTACAAGTTTACAAGTTCATATATAAATATGGATTAATATATAATTTCAAAGTAATTAGTATTTTTTAATGTGACATTTCAGTGAAATTTCTGTGTCATTAAATTAATCCTGTTGCTGGTGGTTTTTTCATTATAAGGAATTTTTGAACTAAACTATTTGTTTTTGCTTAATATATTAAATATTTCATGAAATTTCATTGGAATTCTTAAATATTATTTCTGGTTTACTGTTATGATTCATGTGTCATATAACTTAATGTGAATTGTAATAGTTTAAATCAAGATGCATAGCATAAATTTATGTTTAGTAACTATATATTATTATGTCTTGTAACTTTTGCCATAAAGAAGGAAGAAATTTAGATATTTTCTTTTTCCTTTATAGAACGTGTTCCACCTGTAGAAAAGAAAATTCAAAACATGATATTGAACTTTGGACCACAGCATCCTGCTGCTCATGGAGTATTGCGCCTATTACTAGAACTAGATGGAGAAGTAAGTTTGTCATATGATAAAGTTAAATGAGAATTTTTTTAATATTATTTTATATGTGGTTAAGCATATCTATTTTAAAAGATTCTAAAGCATCTGAAGTTTATCTGTTCTGAAATCACATCTAAAATTGAAATTGGTGTTAGTTTGCATGTGTTTTCTTTTTATTATTATTAAATTCGTTTGTTTGATTTTGCTTTTTTAAAATTTTAAATCTTTGTTGATTACTAGCTGCATAAAAGAATTATATAAAAATTTTGAATTTTATTTGGTTCCCTTTAAATTATATCATTTTCATTTTGTATCAAATTTATCATTACCCGATATGAAGTATATCATTATGATTTTATTTCATGTTCTTTGCAATTGATAAAATAAACACAATATAGAATGAGAACAAATAATAAAACTTTATTTTTATTATATATATTTTTTATCTTTTTATTAGAACATATGAAGTTTCTCATTTCCTTCCTTCCTTTTTCTTTTCTTTGTATTTAAGTGAATGCATCAACTGGTTGTAAAAACGGACATATCTTATAAAATTTCTTATTTCTTATAAAATGTTTCTCTTTGTTTATTAACAAAGCAATATCTGTAAGCTATAAAGACAGCCAAACAACTGCATTCCATCAATTCACACAGTTATCATGAAAATTGACAACTTTCTGTGGTGGTCAGAAAATAATCAGAAAGTACTGTAATTTTTTGCTTTCGCTTGTCAACAGTAGAATTTTCTCTTGCACAACTAAGTAAAATTTTCATTATTTTATGAACAAAAAGGTATTTGATATTTTTATAGCTAAAAAAAAGAAAAAATGGGGATGAAAGAATATATTTTTTCCTGTAACTCAGTTTTTGTTATTAGCATTTTATCACATTTATTAACTACACTTTTGTATTCTTTGGAATATTGAATGAGAAATGAAAAGCAATGAAATTATGTTATATTTTATCATAAAGGAAATTATAGATGAATTTACATCATTTTATTAATACTTAAAATAAAGCATCTGAACAATAGTAATAATTTGCTTCACCATAATACATTAATCTTTTGATAAGAAAATCATTTTACTTTAAGAGGAAAGTCTTATACAGTCAAAAGTCGTTAATCCGGACTCGTCGGGACTTCGGCGATTCCGGATTATCGATTTTTCCGGATTATAGATCATCAGTTTAAATCTTGTAAGATGACATGCAGAAATTCTAAAATTAAAAATATGAAACCGTAATTTATGAAATAAAGAACAATTATGATCTAAAAGGTATCAAAATTTACAAAAAAAAAAAAAAAAAAAAAAAGCTTAATATTTATTTGTTTACTTATTAAACATTTTCTTTCAATGTAAAGTTGTTTAAGTTGCTTCATTTATGTGATAATACTTTTCTCTTTAATTCTATAAACAGACATAATTTCTTGTTCAGTTACAAAGTCCTCCCGCTGTTCAAGTCCCGTTAATTGCTGTGCCCAAAATACACCGACTAACTTGTCAATCGAAATTTTTCGTTTTCACTAACCTCTCTGGTCACATTCGTCATGTCTTTATCCACTTTTTGCAGCAATTCCACTTTTTGTTTGTTGGACATCGAAAACATACTTTCGTTTTGTAGATCCTTTGGAGTTCCAGCATCGGAAATTCTATTTGACATAATCGAAAGTTCAAGTTTACTTTTATAAAATTGCTCTTACAGTCTGCAAAAATAATAAGCGGGATCCAGTTCGAAGATTAAGGAACAACGCAATCATTAACATTAACTGAAATAGATAATTAGATAATTTTAGCTTACAAAACCGTCCGTTATACATTAAAGCGCGGCGAAAAAACATATTCTGCACTTGCGCACACGCATATGCGCAGTAGTCAAGGTCTTACGCGCATGCGTAAAACGCCTGTGCGCATTTGCCAACGCGGCGCATGCGCAGAAAGTTTTTAGCTTGGTCCGGATTATAGATCATTCCGGATTATGGGCTTCCGAATTAACGACTTTTGACTGTAGTTGAAAAGCAAACACATTTAATTTTAATCATTTGTAACTTTATAAAAAGCTTCAGAAAAAATATTTTATATTAGTAGTTAAAATTGTGCAGTATTTGGAATATTGCTTAGTGCTGAGTTGAAGCTGAGTTGAATTGATGCTTAGTGCACATCTAATTTTACCCAAGAAAACAAGTTAAATGTAAATATTCTGGAACTACTCTGATATGCGCCCTCAAGTCGCCAAATTTCTCGCCAAACATTTTTGGCAAGAAACTCCACACTGCCATATTGCTATCTAAATTTTTTGTCTACATTTCAAACTTTAAGCCTAAAATGTCTCCAAAAACACGTTTTCGCGAATGCAAAAACCACATTTTGAACACACTATTTAAGCTAAAAATCTGAAAAAAAAAAAAAAAAAAAAAAAAAAAATTTAGATAGCAAAACCGTAAAGTTTCTAACCAAAATTATTTGACAAGAGTCCATGTACACAGCGATATGTTTAAACTTAACAAAATATCTATGAATGGCACAATCTAGGCAATGAACAAATCTACGAACAACGCACACCTCACTTTAATAAATTAACATAACAATAATAAATTTCAAAGAATACCATGTACACAGCATCCTGTTTAAACTTAAAAAAAAATCTTCGAATTGCACAAGTTAGGCAACAAACGAATCTACGAACTATGCACACCTCACTTTAATAAATTAACATAACAACAATAAATTTCAAAGAATACCATGTATACAGCGTTCTGGTTTCAACTTAAAAAAACATCTACGAATTGCACAATTTAGACGGTGACGCACTAATCAACAAAATAACTAAAATAAATTTTTTGAAATTTATTCAAAAAAAACAACGATAACGACAGAAATTCATACTAAAAAAACAAAAAACCAATGAACATAACATTCTACAAAAAAAGAACAAGAATAAAATAAAATGCACTTACCATGAATCGATGCTTTTTCGAACAGCAGAAATACGAATTTCATACCGCCTTTAACATGCCGCCACATAATCACTATGGTATTTATATGACAGCCAGATACACTATCCAGAAAATTCATACTATTGTTCAAAAATAAATAAAATAACAAATAATCACAAATCCCTACTTCTATCATGCATAGCCATTAAAAATAATATCCCAGAACCTCTTTCCACACCTCCAAATACCCACTGCCCTCAACAGGATGGTCACGACGATATTTCCTTTTGCCGAACTTCAATTCAACAACTTCCACCATTTTAGCTTCTCAGACACAGAGCATGACTCGAACCAACGAACTCCAGCGAAAGATTTTTCAACGTCAACAGGGTTGCCATACAACACGCAATTGCGCCAAAAACCAGCGCAGAACACATATCGCCACATTTGGTGAAATTAGGGCGTATATCAGAGTTGTACCAATATTCTTTTGTTTTGCTATTGCATTTCTTTTATTTTTATTGTGAGTCATAAGAGTCCTTTTTTTATTATTGTTTTCTAGATGATTGAGAAAGAGCAATCAGAGTTTCTATTACAGGTTTTCATTTTTAGTTGATAAGCAATTTAGCTGAGTGTCATCTATCCTGCAGGATGCATTAGCCTATGGTATTTCAAAACTAAATTAAAGGTAGAGACAATTAAATTCTTCTACCTTTTTGATGGGTTTAGTGAGCAGAGCCATCGGATGTCTTCTTTTTCTGTAATATAACCCTCTGAATAAGTAATCAAATAAGTAATAGTAATCAAATGATGAACACGAGGTGGCTCAAAACAACATTTAATGAGGGTGAATATACATAATACATTTGTATAATTATTAGTTACACAAATTAATTAATAAAGTATTTAAGTTAATTATTAGACGCTACTGCTTTTTACAATATTGAGCTCTTGGGAATGAAATCTTTCAAAACACAGTGCAGCCTGCAAATTCTTTTTGCTTCAGTAATCTCAAGCTATATGCTGTGACTTCACTTTTAAAAAATGTAACACTCTCTTGCAATAACTTCGTAATGATGACTACATCCTGAGTTGTGACGTAGTCCTCAAAATTTGTTATGTAACAAATAAAATAGAATGCAATGTAGAATAAATAATACATTTGTATAATTATTAGTTACACAAATTAATTAATAAAGTATTTAAGTTAATGCTACTGCTTTTTACAACATTGAGCTCTTGGGAATGAAATCTTTGAAAACACAATGCAGCCTGCAAATTCTTTTTGCTTCAGTAATCTCAAGCTATATGCTGTGACTTCACTTTTAAAAAATGTAACATTCTCTTGCAATAACCTCGTAATGATGACAGCATCCTGAGTTGTGACATAGTCCTCAAAATTTGTTATGTAACAAATAAAATAGAATGCAATGTAGAATGAAAAATTTATGAAAAAATATATACAATCCGTAATCTGGATTCGTAAGGACTTTGGCGATTCCGGATTAAGGGTTTTTCCGGATTTTATTGATCATCAATTTAAATCTGTTAAGATGGCATGCAGGATTTATACAATTAAAAATACAAAACCGTAATTTATGAAATAAAAAGCAATTATGATGTAAAGGGTATCAAAATTTACAAAAAATAAAGCTTTATTTATTTGTTTGCTTTATTAAATATTTTATTCAATGTAAGTTGTTTAAGTAGCTTCGTTTTTTGTGCTAATCGCACATGCGTAAAGCATACAAAAGAAAAACGTTTGTGGCTTTGAGGTCCGGATTGTAGATCATTCCGGATAATGGTTGTCCAGATTACAGACTTTGTACTGTATGATATTGAGTTTGAAGATATCATCAAGAAATACTACTTTTATTAAATAGAAGAATAAAAACAAACACTCCATACTGAAAACAGAACAATTGTACACTTTTATAATAAAAATGAATAAAATGTGGAAAAAAAAACTTTTATGTTTATCTTTTATTGATTGTAATAAATATTTCAGTTTTTATGGTCCATAAATACTAATCGCAGATTACATGAATGTAATACATTTATCTCCAATAGTGTGAAAGCATCAGTTTTTTGACAAGAACTGTGAAATGGAAAATAATTTATTATGAATTTAATGACTAAAAATTAGATTCTTTCTGGCTATCTGCCCCTACCTGAAAAATATTCATAAGGCAATGTGCTTTGTCACCAAAATATTTAAGTGGCAACTTGGGTATGCTTTCAGCATATATATGTTTCAATGTGTATGGATTTCCACCTTCAAAATTGAGAGATCATTCTTCTGATTAGTGTTTTTTTTTCCCCCTTTAACAAATCGTAATAATGGCACTGTGGAGTTTGCCTGCTGATTAAAAAAAGTGTTGCATTTCTTTCACAATATGACATTTTCTCCAACAGTGGAGAATGGAATTTTTTGCATTCTATGATGTTATGCTTCTCAAATGATAGAATTTTATGGAAATACTATGTGAAAAATTGTAATCAAAGTATTGGAATGATGTTTCTTTAAAGATGGCCATATCTCACTTGTAGCAGTATGTGGCTAGCTATTATTTATCTCTGATGTTATGTCATTATGGCAGCCGCTCAGCATTTTAAATGATTATGATAGTAGTCTCTGCTCAGATACAAGATTGTGTGTGATATTGAATTTGTGCATATCTCTGATGTTTTTTAAAGCAAAAACAAATCACTGTGTATATGGGAAAACAACAGCATGTGCAATGCCAAATTAGAGCAATTCTGTGACATTTTATAAAGCAAAGGCAGATTAGAAGTGTGTGTAGGAAGAACAACAGCAGAAAAAATAAAATAAAAAATAATATCTGAAAGTTTTCAGATTTTATATTTTGCCCAAATGAGCTTCTTTCCCCACCATTTGCAGACACATACACATTTTGAGAGCATTTCCGTTAATGTGACTTTATGCTACATTTAAAAATAGCATATCTTTAGAATTTCCGATAAACAGTCTCTCGCGCTGGAGAAAAAAGTGTTTTATTCCCTACAGCATTGCAACTGCTTGGTTTGAAATTGTTGAGATTTTTAATCAAAAATTCTTTAAAGTTTTACAAAATCTGAAATAGACAATAAAACAAATTGCAAATCCAGGCTTTCAGATGCCCATGTTCGAGTGGAGGATTATGTTATTTAAAATTTGATGACTAGGTATTGTTTTTTCCACAATGTGAGAAACGTACATACGTTCATGCAGATTCTTCATTATTTAATTTCTTTAAATAATAGGTAACAGGGCAATAATATTTAATGGCAACAATTTGAAACATAGTACATCACATTTATGTGATTAGACGCAAAATGCTGTTTTGAGACTAGTAGCCGTTCTGGGCTAATGCTCCTTTGGGCTCTTTTTTTTTTAATTACTCAAGAATTTTTTGATGCATTTTATTACAGATATTTCTTGCTTTTTAAGTTTTATTGATTAATTGCTGTTTTATACAATTCTAAGTGGAAACCATTTTCAAAATTGTATATTAGCCCTTTTGTGTATTAGCTTGGCAAAAAATTGGTGACTTCGGCAGGGAATGCAGAAAGTACCAGATGTTTCAGGTAAACAAAACGAGTAAAGTTTAAATAATTATTTTAAACATTTTTTTTCCCCATCCTAATGAAATTGACCTTGAATTACTATTGTATACACATTTTATATATTCTAACAAAGAAATTAATTCTTTGAAGGGGTTAAATCAGCAAATGAATGTAACTAATGTAGCTTGAATTATCTCAAGATTGTATTTGTGAGCAATTAATATTTTAATAACTTTTTTAAAAGGAACCAACAATTTGTAAAAAAGTACAAAATGAAATGGTTTCAAGGCATATGAATTAAATAAAGATTGAAAGTAAGGTAATTAATTGCATTCCTTAATTGTTGTTCTTTAGCCCAAACAATAAGGGGGATACTATAATCCATCATTGTAGATTCTCAGTCTCATTAAAAATGCTAGCTCGCTAGCAGGTTTAGAAATGTTCATTAAAGTAACAGTATAAACAGTTATTCTGAATGAGTTTATTTTTTATGTCATATGGAATATTAGTTAATAAAGAGTATTTTAACTGTATATGTGCCTTTGTAGTTGGATCATAAAGCATCCTTGATATGAAATTATAACATTTATCAAAATCATTGTATTCACATATGATGGAGATTATGTAATTGTAGTAATATTTTGTATCTTAAGAGACTATGCTCACATGTTGACTGTATTACTTTAACCTGCTGAGTGTTCTTTGCAATTAAATTATGGCTGAAAAAAGTTGATTGGAGAATTAAGTTATATAATTTTTTGCAACTGTAATTTTTTTGGTAACCAAACAACAATATGTAAAATAACACTGCAAGATAATATGTAATGTCCCACTCAAAAGGGACCATAGGAGCTATCACTTCATTAAGTAAATATTTCATCAAATGCGATCAAATTTGGATGGAAAAAAATCTATTACATGAGAAATTGATGTGGCAATACTGTAATCCATAAACAGGAAATGTGTCAGTTGGCAAGCTTGTGAGTTGTTTTTGGCATTCATGTTCCAGTGAAGCAGATGCAGCCACTGATTTTGGCCTGCTTTATGTTTTTCTCTTAATCTTTAAGAAAAGGCTTACAGGACAAACTGCACATCCTTAGTGAGTTACAGTAAAACTTTCACCAGGAAATCTGGGCAGTAATATCCAAACTTACAATCCAAGGTAAGGTTCTGGCAACTACATTCATAAACTTGTACCTTCTGTTGTGCATTCTGTTGAATTGTGTTTAGAAGTTGGGGAAGGTCATTTCCAGCATCTCTTATAACTTACTTTAATTTCTTATGCATGCAGGTATGTCATGTTCAACTTTCATTACATTTCTTCTCCATTTACCTTTCTTACACATCAATTTCTGAGGCCTCTTGTGAATGGGACACTCTATATAATTAACATGTTTTAAGAACATATAATTAATCAATTACAATATTACAGTTATTTTAATATGCACTAAAAATAATGAATGTACTTTGAATCATGTTTGAGTTTTTATTATTATGCATATGTCCATCCGTTATATCTAAGGAATGTCTATTCATTATAGCTAAGGATTTCATTATATTTCAGTCCATCCATTATATCTAAAGAATGTCTATGAAGTGTGATAGAGCTGTTTAATAATTTTAATTATTCTCTAATTGTAACTCAGTGTTTTGTACAGAAAGAGAATTTTGTATCTTGGATGTGTTGCTTGATCACATATTTCTTGTATTAAATTTCTTTTATCTCCTACATTTTTTTTAAACTTCATATATTAAGATTTCAAAATATTAATGGTATATGTTATTTTGATCTAATATCGTATAAATATTTAAGTAGTCTAAGTTTAATTGTCATGAACTGTATCCGAGATGTTAAAATATTCTGCTAGTTTTATATATGTACAAGTGATGGTGTGTATTAATCTTGAATTTTTTTTTCCAAGACTGTGGTACGTAGTGATCCTCATATAGGTCTGTTGCACAGAGGTACTGAAAAACTAATTGAATACAAGACATATTTGCAAGCTTTGCCGTACTTTGACCGACTTGATTATGTATCAATGATGTGTAATGAACAGTGCTATTCATTAGCTGTTGAAAAACTTCTAAATATTGAAGCTCCTCCTCGAGCAAAGTGTATTCGAGGTATAATCTCCTTTTATCATTTATTTACCTTCTAATAATATTTTGAGTTTTATTGATCTCTGTAATTAATGCAGTGTTTTTACCATGCAGTTACAATTTCTTGGTGTATATTTTAGGTCATTAGGCTGGAATGATGTGTGTGTGTGTATAAAATATGCTTAAAATTGTTTATAATGCATCTATTATATATATGCACAGGATGCTTGGAAAATATTTGTCAAAATTTTTAGGATGGTAGAAGGGACCGAAATAAAATTTTTTTTCATAGAATGTGTGTCTGGAAATGATACATTCAAGTGCCAGTAGATGGCATAGATCATGGCAATTCAAAGCAGAATTTGGTTCTAGCACTTATTTACTAGTAGAATTTGGTACTTCCACATATTTTAAGACTGATGTTAAGAACTACCTGGATGCCATGCATGCAGACTGCTGCATAGGTTGAGATAGAACTGTTTGTTAGCCATCGTAATCACCAGTTTTATGATGCTTGAATATTTTTCTTGTGGGGAATTTAAAAAATAAAGTGTATGATACCTCCATTGACTCTGAACAAGATCTCATCATCAAACTGTCTGTGTTTTGTGGAGATGTTAGGTCATCCTGGCATCTTTGAAAATATGTGTTCATATTGATGGTCATTCATTTGAACATCTGCAGTAAAACAGTACTCATTAAACAGTTTGTTAAATTTACTTTGGTCTGCCTCTCACCTTTCATGTTTTTCATCTCCAGTGTTTTTTGAAAGCATTATTTTCAGACATACATTCTATGATGAAAAATGATTATTTTGGTGTCCTCTACTATCACCCTTTAAAATTTTGCCACATATTTTTGAAACAACTTATATATAATATATTATATTTTTTTTTTAGCAATTTGCGCAGATCGTCTATTAGGTTTCAATTTTGATTTTGAAATCTTGGGATGTTTTGACTCATGACTTTTGAGTATATATATATATATATATATTACATATGTACATACATGCATGTACATTATGTATACGTACATACATATATGTACATTATATATACATACCTTTTATATATATATATATATATAAAGGTATGTATATATAATGTATATATATATATATACACATGTATATATAATGTATATATATATTATATTATATACACACACACACATGTATAATTAATGTTTCATATAACTATGCTTTTTTTTTTTTTTAAACTTGCTAAAGCAGGGTTCGTAGCCGTTCTTACAAGTGCTTATAAGTCCTTATATTTGAAAATAAAATATAAAGGCCCTCATAGGTGCTTACTTTTTCTTTAAAGCCATTATTTTTTTGTTTTTAGTGCTTATTTTTTGCTTTTAGTGCTTTTTTTTTTTTAATCCTTTTTTTTTAATGAAACCGCATTTTTTCCCCATACCAAAGCCGAAACTAAATAAACAACTTTTCTTCCTTATAAATGCAACGTCAGATGGTGAATCATACTCCCGGAAATTGCTTCCCCCCCTTTCTCTGCATTAACATAATCTATGGTGTGTGCAAGAGTACAGACAGGTGCACGTCGTTCTATTGGTCAAAGAATTGCGAAAACGGTAGACAATTCCGGTACATTCGGTATTCTTTTCCTCCCACCCAAATACTACACACGTTTGAATTTCTATCAAGATTTTAATAAATTTGCATTCTCGTTCTGCGTGGTCAGTTCATTTTCGTGCTTATTATGATCGTTATGCTTATATTATGAGGATATGCATGAATATTTATAATAATATACGAGGGCTATCCAGAAAGTAGATTACGTTTTGGAATAAAAAAATAAACAAAGTATAGGAAACAAATTTTATTATATACAGATGAAAGCCACACTCAAATACTACTTTTCTACATAGTCACCATACAAATTAAGGCATTTATCGTAGCGATGTACGAGCTTGGAAATTCCTTCGTCGAAAAATTCGGCCGCCTGCGCCTTCAACCACTTCGTTACCTCTTCTTGCAGCTGTGCGTCGTCATCAAAACGCTGCATAGCCAGCCACTTCTTCATTGCTGGGAATAGGTGGAAGTCGCTCGGTGCCAGGTCGGGACTGTACGGCGGATGAGGAAACAACTCCCACTTAAAAGATTCAAGAACTTTACGAGTGACATTTGCCGTGTGGGGCCGGGCGTTGTCGTGAATCAACAAGATCTTAGAGCTCAACATTCCTCTGCGCTTGTTTTGAATTGCTCTTCTGAGTTTTTGGAGAGTTTGGCAATACCTTTGAGAGTTTATTGTAGTGCCTCTTTCCAGGAAGTCCACCAAAATTACACCTTTTCTGTCCCAAAAAACAGTCGCCATCATCTTCCTTGCTGACATTGTTTGCATGCATTTCTTGGGTTTTTGGGGAGAACTTGTGTGCCCCCACTGCATTGATTGCAATTTCGTTTCACAGTTCACATGTTTCACCCATGTTTCGTCACCAGTAACGATGCGATCGAGTAAAGAGTCACCATCCTTATGGTAAGCGTCCAAAAAGTTCAACGCTGCAGCCATTCGCTGATTTTTGTGGTCCTCTGTCAAGATTTTTGGAATCCATCTTGCACAAAACTTGTGGTAACCAAGCTTTTCGCTGATGACTTCGTGCAACAAACTTCGCGAAATTTGTGGAAAACTCAAAGAAAGTTCCGTTATTGTGAAATTTCGATTTTCACGGACTTTAGCATCGACTTTTTCGAGAAGTTCGGCGGTCACTATGCTGGGTCTCCCACTTCGATCTTCGTCGTGAACATTGGTTCGGCCATTTTGAAATCTTATGACCCACTGACGCACTCCACCTTCAGTGATAATGTTGTCCCCATACACTTCACGAAGCTGCCGATAAATTGCTATCGGTTTACAGTTTTTTGCAGTCAGAAACCTTATTACTGAACACACCTCGCAGCTCGCGGGATTTTCAATTAACGCAGACATTTCAAACCGTCACAGTATCTGAACGGAGCACAGCACGAACCTCTCACTAGCACGGCTAGATGCAGACTGAGCTGCGCAACGCTCTGACCCCAAGATGGCCGCGCTAGCCCCGCCCCTAGCGTACACAGACGGAAACGTAATCTACTTCCTGGATGGCCCTCGTAGTTGCAGTAACTGCTGAAGTATAGATAAACTTCCAAAAATGGGTGTGTTTTTACACAGATTAGCTTTCTAAGGAATAATATTCGGAATGTCTTAAATGAAAGGAAAGTAATCGAATAGTCAAAATAATTTCATTTTTTTTTTTTCCAATACATTATACAGTACGGAGGTTGGGAGGTTCTCCCCTTTCTTCGCAAAATCTCTAATTTGCAGCAGACTTTTTTTTTTTGTCACTGTCCAACCTGAATTGAATAGGACTAAAAGTTTTTGCGGTCTACCCAACCCAAGCAAAGATTGATTCTATTCCGGAAATTTAACGCAGTCTGTTGAAAATTAGGATTAGAAACACCCCAGATTAGTAAGTCTCTTTCTTTTCCTTTATTTAGTTCTTTATTCTCCGAATAGCGGCAGCTGTTGATTCCGATTGCGTAATATCACATGTGGAAGAATTAAGCCGCACATATTGCACGATAACGTTTGCGGTATTTCGCAGCGATAATTAATTTTGACGTTCAGTCTGAGATTTGTTTATAAACACTTAAAAGAGTTTTACTGTGCTTTCTAATCAGAATATTTCTCAGTTCTGTTGGTCTATTTTTATATGACACACATATCGAAATGTCAAAATCATTTATTTAGCCGAGAAATCTAAAGAGCGATTACAATCTCCCCACTCCTCTTTTTCCAGTTACTATCCGGAATATTCGGCAATTTCTGAGTATGCGGGTTAGTTAAGCTTTTACTGTTAAAGGATGACTGCATGAAGCAATTTCATGTCTTCTGATTTCAGAAATGTGCCTCTTTTTCACTTAAATTTTGCTTGGAATATATGTTAAGGAAAATCTGTTATGCAATGAAAATTTAGAAAATATTCAGAATTTTGATTTAAGTTAAATTATTTAAATATTAATATGAGTGGAAAAATAAATTGTATTTATTATTATGTGTCAAACGAATACAATTAAATGGCTTATTATTATTTTATTTTCTATATTTTGAACTGAAATTTCATCATTAAATCTTGTAATATAGTTTAGTTCTGCATAGTTTTTATTTTCTCTCATTGTAAACTAATTCTGTAAATTGAACTGTCATTTCAAATTTTAAAAAACGTTAATTGTTTTCCATGGTTGAGTTAATGCTCATTCTCTTAATAAACATTGCATTGCTCATATTTTAAATTACAAGTCTAATTTTTCTTTTAAGGTTATGCAGTTGTGTGTAATGTAATTAGACAGGTGCTTATTTTTTCCTTAAAATGTGCTTGAAAAGTGCTTATAGGTGCTTATTTTTTTAACTAAAATGTGGCTGCAAACCCTGTAAAGAAATCTTTTTAGGCATGTTCTGAAAACATGAAATAATATTACAATTATAATTAAATTAACGCAACAAGATGAACATTACAGTTAAATTTGTAATGCAAGGGAAAATATGTATCTGGAGTTAAAATGAAAGTTTTGTAACATGTGTAAAAAAAAAAAAAAAAAAGGAAGGCTGTTAGTTGTTTCATATAAATTTCTGAATTAAAACGAAACCTCTTCTGTATGTTCTATATTTTTTTCAACATTTAGTGTTGAGTATGAAATGTGAGATAATTTCATTTGTTAATCATGTAATGTCACCATTTAAAATCTGTAATTTTGCAATACTTGTTGCTTATCATTTGATATACTCACTGCATTTTTTATGCTTTTATGTTTGTTAGATTGCAGTGTTATGGGCTCAAAATCATTCTATATGAGCATTAAAGCAGTACTCTTATCCATGTTTATTGGCTTTGAAAATACAATACTATATTAAATTTCCTGATATCATTACTTAATATTCTACTCGTATCTATTTTTCTGAATTCATGTATTACTGGATGTAAAATCAAATATTTCAAGCTTTTACATTGCATTTATTCATCATAGA